AGTATTTGGGGGAAAATGCGAAAGTAATATGGGAAGCAACTTGAATATTTACAAAAACAGTTATATAAAGACTAAAATTTTTGGATTAAGTTCTGTGAAATTTGTATACGCTCAGAAAGAGTGAATAGGAGCAGAAGGCACAAGTTTCTTCTGCTCATCTTTTTACCTCATTTCCTCTCGTACCTTCCGGCCCACTTGGCTTTCTTTACGGTTGCCCCATGATGCCTTGTTTTCTTTCTTGCTGTCTCTCTTATATGCTCTCAACATAAATCAATTAAATAAGCCTTTGTTAACTAGAACTGAAACTGCTAAGCAAAGAAACTGCATATCTTATACATATGCATACACACATACAGACATTCTCTCTTATACATATACGCACACATGTCCACTCCCATCATTTATTTGCTCCTTTTCATCCACCTTCAAGGCCACACGTTGCCACCTAAAAGAAAGCAGCTACTCCAGCTGCTGTTTGGTTTTGAGGGAGGGAGCAAACCCTAGCAAGGGCCAGACCCCAACGAACAAATGCTCAGGACAGCGTTGGAGTGCACAGGCCTTGCTATCTCTAATTGGTGGGGAAAAGTTACCAGGGGTGGGTTGGGGTTTAATTGGTAAATTGATATTGGATGTGAAATTGGAACAGCAAGCTTGTGACACAGTAAACGAAAGCACCTCCATCTAAATTATCCATTAATGTGCGCATTAATAAGCCAGAGATTACATATATTAATGTGGCAAGGGAGCCATATGAATTGAACCGCAGCCTAGTGCGGGACCCGACAGAAGGAAATGAGTAAAGAGGAGGAAAGGGCAGCATGAGCATTTTTAGCTTCTCAGATACTCTCTGAGTTACATTTCAGCTGAGTCAGGCAGATGACTAAGCTGTTCTATTTTACAGAGCTGTGGAAGAACAGAGGCAATGTACTTACAGTTCATTCAAAACCATGGTTCCCTGTTCTCCCTTCATGCTTCCATGCCGAATTCAGAAATCTATGGCTCAGAGGCCTCTCTTCGCACTCAGCACAAATAAAGAGCAAGGTAGGTGTCACAGCAGCTCCCTTTGACACATTTTAAATTCACACTTCACACCCCCTTTCTGTAATCTTTCCCTTGTCAGACCTTGATTAATTAAAAAGAACATGCAAATCAAGATGCTAGATTTTTTTTTTAAAAAGCAAAAGCCAAAACCTTACCTCCCCCAAAGCCTCTACCAGGGTTCATCATACCAATGGGTAAAGCAAGTCTCAAATTAATATTGATGACAATAGATGGTTAAAGATCGTTATGAGTCTATGTGGAAGAATAATCATTCCACTTACTTCAAGACTGATATAAACTCTTGGAAAGAATCCTGTTTTAATACCTGCTATATATTTTAAACATATTGATAAGATATTGAGAAAGTTTCCTTGGGATCTTTCTTGATTCTCAGCGGTCAGTTGGGCTTATATTTTGACCTCTATTTCCTAGTGGAAATTAAGCGATTTAAGTGATCTTTATGGGCCCAGTTAAAAAGTTATTATTTGAACCTTTCAGCTTCCTGGCAGGGGTTCCTGGTTTGACCAACAGTGAGCTGCTTTTTCAGAATTAAAGGTTGCAAGACATAATTGCATGAGATTGGGAAGGGAATTTAAATTTGACTGCTATTTCTATGAGAAATTGTCACTCAGGGATAATCCTACTCTGAAAATTGCAGGAAAAAAATTCTTTTGGAGTTCATGTGCAAAAAAATGGTATAAATTCACCATGTTGCAATTTGGATTGTCTAAAACTGAAGAGCAATACACTCAGTTAAAATATTGGTTGACCATACAGTTTGGACTGGATATATTAGCATTAGAAACTCATATATTTTTATTATCACTAGACAGACACTTAGATAATTCCAGACTTACAGTTTATTTTTTATAAACAAATGAAGACTATCACTTATACACATACACACACAACACACACACACATACAGATATATATTAGTAATTTGCAAGAAACGTGAAATAAATGGTTGGAACAACCTGTTTTAACAAATCAATGGGCTATTGAATTAAAGAATATGAAATTTTGTGGTCTTAAGATGCAGTTAATTCAACAAAATTCTCTTTTGGTATTTTCTGTACACTCCAAAAGATGTTTAACAAGGCCTGGCTATCAACTTCAGTATTTCAGAAATGCAGTATGGCAGAGGGGACACTGGCACACGCGTGCTGAGCTTCTTCCTTAGTTGTCCCCTTTTAGCTTAATATACTCTGATAAGTATATTGTATAAGTATTAATATACTAAGAGAAAAAAAGATTGAATTGAAGAATGAATGTTATACTAAAGTGTATACCAAAAATTTGATTATGTATTGATTCATGAAAATCTCTGGATTTATCCTGCATGGAATGTAGCCAAAAATGTCATTTTATTTTGATGCAAAGAATTTGCTGCATCAGATTTAAAATCCTGCACTGAAGATAAGTGTTCATCCTCCATCTATTAATGGACTTACTATCAGTGCATCAAAGAAATTAAGCAACAGTAGTTCCTGTGGTCAATTTAAAAACAGAGTTATTTTTTCTATATGTATTTTGTTATGTACTTTTTATTTCTAATGTTTTTTGTTTCTTGTTTGTTTATTTGTTTTAATTTCTTATGTTTGTGCTTTATCCTTTCTTTTGTATATTCAAGCAATACCATTCTTAAGAAGTGTGTGCCTGGTTAAAAAAACACAGTATAAGGTGCTGGTCTTTCATTGATTAAACATACATTCCTGTTTCCATTTTACATGAAAATTACTCCTGGAAGACATGCAAGATAGCATCAAATGAGAAACATGGTGTAACTAACTGAAACCACTCTCAGAACACCTCCAAACTTTCAAAGAGTTTGTTGTGTTAGTAGTAGCAAAACCATCAATCCTGTGGCCCCTTAAAGACTAACAAATTTATTACAATGTAATTTTAATGGAATATAATCTGCTTTTCCAGAAAACATTTACCCCACAAAAACTTTTACAATGATCACTTTGTTAGTTTTCAAAGTCCTTTATCAGTTAAGGACATAAGGAGATCTAGTTTTGGTAAATACAGGATCCTGTTTCAACTCTTCCGATCTCCATAGCCTAGAACCTTGTTGTGCTGTTGCCACAACAAAGACACAGGCTCTTCTGGCTGTTTAAAGGGTAACACAGTTATTGTGATGCAAACTTTCATGGGCTGCAATTTCATGAAATCCTTGGTGTATTATCGCAAGCATGTTAGCCTTTCACAAGGCACTGAGGCCTTGGCCATTTCCTAGGCATTCAGCTCAGGGGTTAGGTGAGCTCTGCTACTATTGATGGTGAGTGGGATTAACAGTTTATTCTTGGGCAGCAGAGAATTATATTTGGTGGGTTGGTTTGTTTTAATCTTGCAAGCCACCCAGAGTCACTCGTGTGAGATGGATGGCTATATCAATCAAATCAATCAATCAATCAATCAATCAATCAATCAATCAATCAAAGGAATAGAATAAACAGGAAGAGGAATTTTAAAAGAAGTCAGAGAAAAATGAGAGGAAGGAGATGCAGACCAGAAGTAATTACTGTCTTGTGTTAATTCACAAAACAGTTCCTGATTATGACACTGATATTCTTGTTGATGTGTTGATTAATAGCATATGGAGCATGATAAGAGACTTGGTATCCATTAAATCTACTTAAATCTTAAAATGCCTAAAATTTCAAATCTGTTCTTTTGTTATGCAATTGGCCTTTGAATTCCTTAGCTCAAGATTCATTACCTTAAAGTCAACATCAGACAATACTGGGGAAGCTTCCCTTGCTGGTTTTAGGATACAGCTATTTTAAAGTCAGATTTGTGTCCATTACTGTTCTGTATAGGGATTGTAAAATTTATCTAGTATACAGTGCAACAGAGCACTGCTGTCAGATTGCTCTCAGCTAGCGAGACTCCTCAAGAATAGATTTCCAAGGACACGAAAGTTCAAATAAGTTGGTTTGTTGCAGAAAAGCTAAAGAAGCCATTATGAAAGAATCTCATCAATTGTTCAAAGACCTATTTATAGAGAAATCAAGGTTTCAAATTCTTATGGCTCTTTCTTCCACCCATATAATTAGCTAGAAGTCAATCTCTTTGGGGCAGAAATTATTATCATGGTTTTGGTAATGGCATCAGGCTGTTCACTTGTGGCTGTCTAAAAATTGACTCTTACAGCTACTGGTCAATGATGGCATAAATCCTATAAACAGATGTATGGATCTCTGATGGTCTAGCTAACAAAAGGAAATGAAATGGATAAAAAACAGAGATTTAATTACTTATAGATTGTGGCCTTTACAAAACTGTTACAACTGTTAAAACTGTTTTTGCATAAATGAGCTGGTTATCCCATGTAGTATGATAAGAATCTCTGGCCTTCCACTGTAATAAAACTTTTGTTCTTTAAAATACCACAAAAATTCTTTTGTTTTTGCTGAACTGAAGTATCTCAATTATCCCACGACAGGAGTCATGGACTATCCAGCTTTTGGGATGACATACTTCCTCTTCTACCCTCAGGATCAAAACAGTTGCTTGGCTTTGATTACTAACTAGTACATGCTTTGAAGAGCAGCATTTGAGGAACGGACATTTTACAGACCTGCCATTATACTTGAAGCCTTCATCGACCTCCATGACATTAATTGTTTCTTATTATGAACAACCCTAGAGAGATACTGTCAGGCAGAAAGGCAGAATGTAAATACAAATACCCTGAATAATTATGTGCTATCACCTGTACTCACATAACTAACTTTTTCTTGGAAACTCTCTGGCACTTCTACCTCCCGTCAGTGAGGAGCACCAGCCACTATTAACCTAAGATAAACTGAATTTTGTCACAGTGGACATGATTGTCTTCTCCAAACAAATGTCAACACACCTCATTTCACAAGTTGACAGTTCAGCGCTTGCATATTCTGGCAACTCTATCCCAGTAAACATGATTATCTACTAATAAGAGTGGCACTTACTGGTCATCTCCAACCTTCTTCACCCATGCCATGTCCCTCTCCGACTGACTAGCTGCGAGGTCCTAAGAAAAATTAAAGCAAACCCTGTTACATGTACAACCCAACAGTTCCACAATCCCCAGTACAACAAGCAGGGAAACACAGCTAGAGGGAAGCTCCATTCTGTAACTGGAACAAATGAGGTCTTATTTAAACTGTTTTAATTTGATCTTTGTCCATAAGGCTTCCACAAAAGTTCACAAAAATTCAAATCTGAAATCATCATGTACAATTATAAATCATTATCTTAAAAAAGAACAAAAAAAATGTCTAGAGAGATAAAACTAATATAAGAACTAAGAGTTAAAAGGAAAGAAATGAAGTTCAGAAGGATAAATAAATTTTCAGGAGCTACCTAAAAGCCATCAGAGGAAAAGGCTGATTATGCTTCTTAGGGAGGGATTTTTATCATTTGAAAGCCTCCATTGAAAAAGTACCGATATTATATACAGTGGGGCAAAAAAGTATTTAGTCAGCCACCAATTGTGCAAGTTCTCCCT